TTTCTGCTGCTGGTTCATGTTTTTGCTCTATTATTTCTGGTTTCAATTTCTTAAGATGGTATCAGAGCACATCTTTTCGCTGCTGTAGTCTCTGTTCTTCAGCCAAGGACCTGTTCCTGGTTCATTCTTGCTGTGTTATTGCTGATTCTTCACGTTCAGCATGCAGAACTGACCATGGAGTTCTGAAGTTCTTCATTCTCATCCTCCATGTGTTTGTTAAAATGCTTGCAGAGGCATGAAGTTGCACTGGTGGTTTTACTTCCAATCCTTGCTGGAGTTTATTTAGCATTTCCAATTCTTCTTTCACTCATTAATGGTGATGATGTTTTTTTCTTCAACAAATCCCCGGTTTCAAAGCCATGGATGCTTTTTCATTCCGGTTGAAGTATATTGCTGTTTATTTTCTCTAGATTGCTTTTCTTTCGACCTCAGGCTTCTCTTGCATCTCTGCTCCTCTTCTACAATTCAAGATGTTCCATCTTGAGGGGGGAGTGTTGGAATATTTCATCTCAACAGATCAGTCCAGCATCAGTTCACACGTCCAGCAGCAAGTTTTCCTTCCAGATTCTTCTTCAGTTCACGTTCAGCACTTGTTATTCCATCACCAGTAGCATGCCTTATTCTAGATCTTCTTGATCCTTCTTTAATTTGTTATGCAGTTAGTTTGTTAGATAGTTTAATCTATAAATAGATCAATGTACTCAAAGTTTTACTTGAGCTTGATGATTAATAAATTCTCCTTCTATCATCAGTTCCTTCAATGTGATTTTACATGTTGAATCTATCATTTAGTTTCTCTGCATCTATCTTTTAATTTCTGTTGCTGGTTCATGTTTTTGCTCTGTTATTGCCGGTTTCAATTTCTTAAGAGTAACTTGTCACGGACCTAGAGAATTCCCCTACCCATGTGGCATGACAAGATATCTTATTGCGGGTTTATTGCTATATTTCTCGGAAGTGCACCGACGATGTCCCTTTAACAGGTTTGGATGTCATGCTTTCTATCCCTATGTTGTGCTTATGTTGCATATCTAAGTTTGCCAGTCGCATGTGTGGGGTAGGCTGCCTTGGGGGTCCCTGAAACCTCAAGGGCCGAACGGGAGGTCTGTTACAAGTGGTATCAGAGCCGGTCCGCTCCGAATGTTGCGTTGTTAGTTATCCAAGGCTAGCAACGTACGTTCTTGCGGAGAAGATCCTGCGGCCTCCAACATGAGACAAAGCGGTCGGTAAGTGGAAAGTGAGAATGAAAAGCTTCGAGGATGATGGATGTTAGGGGGCATCCAGTAAGCGATTTTGCCTACTGTGTGAATGTTGCTTTGCACGAGCTTTGATCGAGGCATTGCGGTGGAAACTGAGTATAGTGGGGGCATTTGTGATTGTACTTCGACATGCATGTGATGCAGGGCCAGGGGAGCCGTCCACTGAGGAACTAATGCCAATGGCATAGGGTGAAGGTGGTGTTGAAGGTGACATGTACGAGGGGTACTGCGGGAAGAGGTGCAGGGGGCACTGTGGACGCCCGTACATCTAGGGGGATGATGTTGCTGTTGCGGAGAAAATTTTGAACCCACTAACTTGAAGAGATGATGCAATGCATGAAGACGCGAAGCACATGTCCGCTACGAGGACGTTAGCGGATTGAGTGGGGGAGTGTGTCACGGACCTAGAGAACTCCCCTACCCATGTGACATAGCAAGATAGCTTATTGCGGGTTTATTGCTATATTTCTCGGAAGTGCACTGACGATATCCCTTTAACAGGTTTGGATGACATGCTTTCCATCCCTATGTTGTGCTTATGTTGCATATCTAAGCTTGCCGGTCGCGTGTGTGGGGTAGGCTGCCTGGGGGTCCCTGGAAGCTCAAGGGCCGAACGGGAGGTCTATTACAAACCGCTCAATTTGATTTTGTTTCACCATGGTCACTCAACTTTATACTTAATGTCACAATGGCTACGCAACTTGATTTTGTTTTACCAAGGCCATTCAATTTCATATAACGTTTCACTATGGCCACGCAATTTCATATAACACTTAACCATGATTACTCAATTTCTTTTTACCATTTTCATTAATTTTAAAAGGGGTAAAATGTTAACTTTGCATTATATATATATAAAAAAATTTAGAAAAAAAATTAAAATTAAAACTTATTTTAACAAATAAATAAATAAAAACTTATTTTAAAAAGGTTATTTAAAACAATAAAATAAAATATAAACTTATTTTTTTTTTTTGGGTAATTGGCGCAAAACGTCCCTACCTATGATGGGTCTTGTGGAAAACGTCCCTACGTTTCATTTTTTGGCGCAGAACATCCCTACCTTTCACTTTTTTTGCGCAAAACGTCCTTTTTCCTAATTTTTGACATAAAATGACCAATATACCCTTCAATTTAAATAAAACAAAAAGGAAAAGAAAAGAAAAATCAAGAATAAATTGCAATCTGATCCAAAACATTTTAAAAAGTGCAAATCAGTCCAAATAAATTATTAAAATATTAACAATAATCAAAAATAAAAATAAAAACTCTCTCTCCTCTCCCTCACCCTCAGCCTCCTCTTCCCACAGCCTCCTCCACCACCACCGAAAAATCAGACACTATACCGGCGCCTCATCACCCTCTACAATCCCACACAAACAACAGCCCAAAAACCCAACAAAAATCTGATCAAAATTTCGCACAAAAAACCAACAAAAATCTGATCAAAACCGGCAGAATCTAGACCATAATAAACCTGAGCTTCACCTCCTATTCTAGCCTTCATAGATTAACCACCAAAAAACACAGAAAGAGACAGAAGCAAGAAGCAACCAGGAGCTTAATTCTTACATTTTGAAAAATAAATTTTGCATTTAGAAGCAACAGATTTGGTGGTTTCATTGTGAAGCAACAAATTCGATGGTTTCATTTTAGCACCTACCCCAATGCACCGGAACTGTCGCCCACTATATCAATTTTCTACTAGACCTTCTTGACATCAGCAGGAGCATGGGTAACCCAGAAATAGGTTCAATTTTGAGGGAAAACCAGCAGCGTAGGCCGATTTGTCTATAAACTATTAAGCACGCATATTGAGGTCTTCCATATTCCCCACTTTCTACTAGATTTTTGTTGATTTTTTGGGCTGTTGTTTGTGTGGGATTGTAGAGGGTGATGAGGCGCCGGTATAGTGTCTGATTTTCGGTGGTGGTAGAGGAGGCTGAGGGAAGAGGAGGCTGAGGGTGAGGGAGAGGAGAGAGAGTTTTTATTTTTATTTTTGATTATTGTTAATATTTTAATAATTTATTTGGACTGATTTGCACTTTTTAAAATGTTTTGGATCAGATTGCAATTTATTCTTGATTTTTCTTTTCTTTTCCTTTTTGTTTTATTTAAATTGAAGGGTATATTGGTCATTTTATGTCAAAAATTGGGAAAAAGGACGTTTTGCGCAAAAAAAAGTGAAAGGTAGGGACGTTCTGCGCCAAAAAATGAAACGTAAGGACGTTTTCCACAAGACTCATCATAGGTAGGGACGTTTTGCGCCAATTACCCTTTTTTTTTTAAAAAAGTTACTTAGAAAAATAAAATAAATTAAAAGCTTATTAAGAAAAATGTTTTTCAAATAAAATAAAAACTTATTTTTTTTAAAAAAAAAAAGTTACTTGGAAAAATAAAATAAAATAAAAGCTATTTTTTAAAAAAAAAGGTCTTTTAAAAATAAAATAAAATAAAAACTTATTTTAAAATAAACGTTTTAAGTTTGTTTGTTTTTAAAATAAGTTTTTGTTTTAATTTTTTTAAAAATTTATTTTATACATATAATGCAAAGTTACCGTTTTACCCATTTTAAAATTAATGAAAATTGAAAAAGGAAATTGAGTGGTCATGGTGAAATATTGTATGAAATTGGTGGTCTAGTGAAACGTTATATGAAATTAGATGGTATTTGTGAAATAAAATCAAAATGCGTAGCCATGGTGACACTAAACATAAAGTTGATTGGTCATGGTGAAATAAAATCAAATTGGGTGGTCATGGTGATACTAAGTATAAAGTTTTGTGGCCACCAGTGAATTTAACCTTTTTTTTTTTTTTTACTTATTTTGTATATTACACAAGCATTTAATAATTCTTATACAAGTAAATTATATTCTAATTCAAGCGTATGGTTTATTAAGTTTATATACAAGTAATTAAGGGACTATTTCGACTTTATATATCATAGAGACTTACTTCTTGACTTCTTGTAGCGATTATTTCTTCTACAATACATTTATAAGAAACGTTGGAAAATTATTTCTTGCTAATTGGTAAAAGATTAATTTCCACACCCAACAAAGATCTAAAGATAGATTTTGGTGTCTCAATCTTTTGGAGACCAGCCAGCCACCCAACCTTCCATCTTTCATTTATTGCTCTTTATCTTCATAATTCTTCATTTGACCTTTTGTTACCACCACCTAAAAGTTGAAACTAAGTACTAATTAAATTATTTTACAAAATTGAATTTCGAAATCAAAAGAGCATTAATTTCATATTTATGGTGTAAATGTTCAGCTACATCTTGAAATAGACCCCACAATTCAAGAAAAAGTAAAAGCCTACTCTCTCTCTCTCTCTCTCACACACACACACACACACATTCATACACACAAAATAATGTGGATTGAGATGTAAAGAAGATCTACCTTTGCTTTGTTTGCACTTCTCACCATCTTGGGTGTGAAAGCTATCATGTTCTGCACTTTCTTCAACTTTGGTACATATTTAGCAAGTTCAACTCAACAAATACCCCGTTTGCACATCTTCTTTACTCATATTGAAACAACGATATGCATGCCCTTAATTAATTTCATAAGAAAAAAGGATAAATGGATTCAAAGATTGAGTATATTACAAAAAGAAATACAATTTCTCTCGATTTAATTAGTAAACCCCCAAACCAATAACATAATAATAAAGTACAGATACTCCTAGGACTTGTTATTTTCTTGATTTTTTTTTTTTTTTTGGTGATTACAATATCAAGCCATTTGCAATAGCTCGATTTGTATCAAGATAAGTAGTTTCATACACCGGTAATTCTTCTCTATACCTCTCCATTCCAATGGCAGAAAGATTATTGAGCTCGAAAAGATCCGAACTTGCACAACTTGCCACATCGTCGTCATCCTCATCTTCCTCTAAATCTTCGTCTTGATTATCAAAAGCTAGATTTTTGACGTGGGTTTTTTCCGGATCAAATTTAGTCTCAACCTTCTTCTGATAATTCCTCAACAAATCTCTAGCAGCCTCTTCGACTCGATGATTCTTCTCCATAAGATGCACCATCAGCTCATCATTAATGGAACTTGTGATTCTACTGTTTATAGGCTCCGAATTTTGTTTATCTTCATGTAAAGATTTGTGCCCACATGGCTGACAATCTTCATCAACAATTACACTTACAGGATAAAATCTAACCGATCTTTTCGTCCCATTACTCGATTTTCCCCTTGAAGATGGAGTCTTGCTTAAACATGATCTCGAAAACGAAGAGGCTGATGAACATGTCGATGCATTCGCAGACTTTACAGTTGAAGAATGATCATCATAAGCTCCATTTGATGAAATCTTGGATTTCTTAGCATTTGATGCAGTGAAAAGTGAATTCAAAAAGCTTGCAAGTCTTCCTCCAGGGGAATTTGGCTGCTTAACTTTTTTCAAATCCCCATAAATTTTCGAAGCTTTAGATTTTGTTTTCATAAATCCTCCTTCATTCTTATGTTTTGGACGACAAGTATTATCATCAAACACTTTATCATACTTGCTGGTTTTTTCTTTCTCAGAAGCCGTAACGCTTGTTCGAATTGGTTTAGGCCTTTGCAAGCCATAACAAGAGGTTCTTGATGAAACCACATGAACAGATTCAGCTTCTGAGGATGAAAATCCACCTCCACAACTCGAATCCGAAGAACTCGAACTCGATTTCAAGAACAAAGAATTCCCAAAATTTCCACTATCTTTTCTTGATTTGCTATCAAAATCAGCCATGGATTTTCTCCTGACAACCACTTTTTCACTCACCTTTTTCTCCATCCATTTCTCTATCATGCAAGCTCTTCGAAAATTTGCCATTTCTTCCTCACTTTGAAAGCCCACATGATCATTCTGTTTCTTCTTCATGGTTTCTTTGTACACTACTAATTCCTCTTCTCCCTCGTCGATCGAACGATAAATAGCATCAAGAAGTGTGGAAGAAAAAGAAGGGTTTGAGTTAGAATGTGAGTGTGAATTAATTTCTCTGCCCTTTCTGTAACCTGCATAACCCTCCATGAGTATTAGTTTTTATAGTAAAGAAATGGAGTTTTGAGGAACACAAGGAGGAGTTGGAAATGATGACGAAGTCTCTTTATTGTCTGCTTTGAAAGAGTCAAAAGCTGCAAGAAAAGAGATTAATGGAGCCAAACACTATCATGTGAAGAACAATTAATAAGAACCCTATACAGATTACACAGTTGAAATCAACAGTAGGAATAGAGACTTTGATGTTGGAGTGTGATTCCATGTCTGTTTGCCATGATGAGTGAAATAGCAACACTTGAGACAACACTCATTGAAGTGGAGAGAGAGGAGAGAGATAGAGAGTTGTATTTTTCTCTTTCACTTGTGCTTTATATTGGACTTTCTAGGGTATGGTTGGAACAGGCTGGAGAAATTGATGACGTGTTTATATTTATCTTTTTTTCAATATTAAAATATTTTAGAGCTAAATCACATTACTTGTACAATCTCAATTGACAATTTCACACTTGACAGTATTATATTTATTCATTTTAAAAATTGTTAAAAACTATTTTTTAAATCAATGGTCCGAATGTTGACAACATCAAGATTGCCAACAATTGTTGTCAACAAGGGGTGTACATAGAAGTGTCAAGATGGACGGGCCGGCCAAATCCGTGAAAATCGATCCGATTGACCCGAGACCGCGGGCCGACCTGTGACCCGAGCTGGCGGTTCACGAGTCAAGGAGATATGACCCATGGACTTCGTGGGTTGGACCTTCAAGGGCCATTGGGCCCATGAATTTTTTTTTTTGTTTTTTTAAATTTGAAAAAAATGGGAGAAAGAAAATTTGTTGATGTTCCTAATAGATGGAATTCAACTTTTTTAATATTAAAATCGTATATTGGCTATACTAATGCTATTAATGTTAAAATCGTAGGTGCCAACCTAGTTGGAATGTACTTATGCTATAAATATTTGAAAATAGTAATTAGAAATGCATTTAGTTGTTATTTGTTTAAGTTAAATTTAACTTTGTAAAGTTATAAATAATTCATGTAACATTAAATTTGAATTCTATGTAAACAGTTCTTCGTAGAAATATGAATTTATCATTGGACTTTGCTTGTTGTACATAATTATTGTACATATGGATATCTATAACCCTCACATGGGGTGGAGCCCACATTTTTGTGAACCACACTTCATGTGAGGGTTATGTACACTCTTATATACAATAATTATGTACACTTAACATTTTTCTTTATCATTTTGTTCAATTCTTAGTTTTCATTTAACAAAAAAAATATTTTTTGTTATAAATATGAAAAATTCTATATTTTTATAATTTTATTTATACAATAATAAGTGTTAAATTAGAACAAATCGCGACCGCACTGGACGTACCCGAGCTGGACCGGGCACAGAGGGCGGGCCAGGTTGTAGTCCAAAATTTGTGGGCCGACTCAGAACCGGCCCGAAACCCGTAGCGAGTGGGCTTTTTTTTACGCGGGCCGTTACCGGGCTCATATGTTGGCTGGTCGACCCGACCCGGACCACCCGAATTAATACCTCTAGGTGTACAAATAGATTAATTGATAAAGGGTAAAGATATTTGTACATAATTTAATGTACCGAATTGTTTACCCCCTCTCACATGCACTCGGGTCTCGCGTGAATAAAAAAATCCCAAGATGTGTTCCCCACCCCCTATTGTGAGTAGTCGGTAAGGGATTAGGTAAAAAAAATTCGATATATGTAGCATGGTCCAAGAATAAATTATATGCCCATATGTTAAATATGTATTAAGAAACAATCATACTATATGTACAATCTAGTTTGATAATCTTCGTTGAGAACTTACACTTACAATATTATATTCATCAATTTCAAAAACTGTTTTCTTAGTTAATGCTCCGAATTTTGACAATACGAACATTGTTAACTATTATTGGCAAACATGATTGTACAAATAACATAATTGATTAAGAAAATAGCAAATTCGGGCCCACAAATTTGGGTTCATTTAGAGAAGTCTACTATTAGTTAGAGGTGGCAATGGGCCAATTGTGTCGGCTCGGTCCGTATGCATACGAGCTCGGCTTGTTACTCGTGGGCCGAGCTCGTCCTTTCATTTTTTTTTTAAAGATAAACATTTTTTTTAAAAGGATACCCTCCACCAAGCTCGTGAGCTTGGCTCGCCTAGTGATCCAGCCTGCTCGGCTCAGGCTCGTCCAGCCGCCCACGAGTCGAGTGGCCGAGCCGCTCGACCCGTTTTCCACCACTACTACCAGTTGAGAGATAATTAGATTTTAATATTTTTTATTCTTCAATTTCATGTTCATTGTAATGTGATGGATCAAGCACACACCATGTCATAAATTTACAATTGGAATTTTCTTTCCATGAAAAACCAACTAGATATACCGATGTTCATTTTTATTGGGTTCTATTACAGGTAGAATTTCACGTAGCTTAAAAATATAAATAATAATCAATATATAAGAATTTAAGCATCTTTTCTTAATTAAGTTGACATTTAAAATGGACAGAACGGACCTCCAGCCCATAACGATGAGGTGGCAAGATCCAATATTTCCCAACGTACAAAACGTACAATATATTTTAGGGAAAAATTTTTAAGTAAGAGGATAACTATCACATATTTCAAAATTAAGAAAACAAGTTTGGAATTACAAAAATCAGATTTTTATTAAAATTTATTATGATTTAATTAATTAATTAATTAAATATAATGATGTCATAATTATACAATTAATATACATAATTAATTGGTCATATATTATTTTTGAGTTCACAAATCAAAAATTTTATAAGTCACGAATTATTTCGAGGCCACAGTTCAAAACTTTTATAGGTCACAATTTGTATTTCGATCACAGATCAAAATTTTTGGGAGGTCACGGATTATTTTTTGGTCACAAATCAATAATTTTAAAGGTCACGGATTATTTTATTGGTCACAGATCAAAAAATTACAAGTCACAGATTAATTTTTAGTCACAAATTGTCGAATTTTAAGGTCGCATATTAATTTTTAGTCACAAATTGTAGAATTTTAAGGTCACAGATAGTCCATTATGCGGTCACAGTTGGTCACGAATCACACCACAAGTTCAAACAACAGTCGCTCGCACCGCAACCACCGCACCATCGCCTGCACCGCACCATCTCCACCGCCACCAAAACCACCATTTCTACCCAACACCTATTCACTGTTAATAAAAACCAATTTAATCTACCACCGCCACCGACAACTAGTAACGCTGCCACCACCCATTCCGCCACTAAAGCACCAACCACAACTAGTAATGCTGCCACCAACATCGACATCACAACCACCATCGTGACGAACATCGCACCGCCAACAGAGAAACTCAAACCACAAAAACCACTTCACACCGGCCTCAACCATCAGATCTGCCACCGTCAACCACGACCAAAACAGAGAGAAATCTCGCCGGTGCTGCATCACTCTTTTTTGACTAGCAATCTGATGGATCTGAAGGGAGGCGAAAGAAGTTACGAGGGGGCTAAGGCAGGGCTGATGGAGCCAAAACGGTGGTCGGCGACCCTTCGATGCGTGGGGCGGTCCTACCTGAGAAAAGCTGCGAGTTCGCAGCAGCCGGGGAATTACGGAAGCACCATTGGGAAATTCTGTCAACATTACGGGAGCAGCAGTCTCCAGCGACGAAGAGAGAGACAGGGAAATTCTGTCAACATTACGAGACTCCTCCTCCAATGGGCGGGGAAGAGAGAGACAGGGAAATTGAGAGGAACAGTAGGTTGAGGAGAGAAGCGGAGGGGACGAGAGAGGGGGGAGAAAGAATTAGGGTTTGAGATTTAAATGGTGTGGTAGATGAATTAGTTTTTTAATTGATATATTTAGTAATAAGTTTAATTATAATATTTCTGATTTTTGAAAGAAAAAAGCTCTCACCTGATTTTAGAATTGAGATCTCCAAATGTAGGGTGTTATGTAATTTCCACTATATTTTATGAGGTCAATTTCCACTACATTAATTAAGATATTTTAATATTTCTTACTTTAGGGATGACAATAGAACTGAAATAGTCGTTATCATTCTCGTCTCATAGAAAATTTTTGGAGGCAAGACGGGATGACAAAATCCCTTACTGCCCCCATTTAATTATTTTTAATATTATCTTTCATTTTTTAAGTAAGACTTAAATTGAAAAAATAGAAAAGGATATGCTTCAACACATCTAATCTTTATCTCTTTAAAATGATACGTATCATTAATTATAATTAAAAAAAAAAAAAAAGGAAATAAGTGATTATGGATTAACGTTTATAATTATTTTATATGTGCACGCGTTTAGGTGTGTGGACACACAGTGTGATGCTTATATGCACAATGATTGCACTCGTGGCTCTTAACCTTTACTTGGGGTGGGGAGTTTGGGAGCATTTGGATGGAGGGTTGAAATGATAGAGATGATTTTAATTAAGATTTGATTGGATAAAGAAAAGACTATAGTTTTTAAAGATTAGGGTTAAAAACGTCAGTTCAGCCGTTACTGATTTTTCGCAAAATTTGATGTTGATGATTGAACTTCATTTTGTTTTAAAAATTGACTCACGAAACTTAAGTTTCGCTATAGTGGGTCATTGTTACTTTTTATTACTGGTATCTGTCGACAAATTAGTTGGCATCCAGGATACGTCTAATTCTAAGACATTTCTATCCAGGATCAAGAGAATGCGTTGGGGACACATTTGATTGCTTTGATAAAAAAAAAAAAAGTAAGAGAAAGTTATGGATTTCTCCAATTTGGATTACGAACATATGACATGATCTCCTTTACGCGACGACATGGAAAATAACCAAGAGGAGAAGAAATACTTCACCCGACAAATGATGATGAGGAATAAGGAGTATGAAGTGAAAATATTTAACCTTAGTTGTCTCCCGATGAGGAATGTCTTGCCACCTATCGTTCCTCAAATTAATAAACATGTATAGAGTGACTAAATTGTAACATAATTTCATATTACGTGGTCA